TATATATATATACTATATATATATATATGTGTGTGTGTGTGTGTGTACGTATATATATATATATATATATATATATATGTGTGTGTGTGTGTATGTATGTATGTATATATATGTATATATATATATATCACTGGCAATTCTGCTATCCGAGCAAAGCACGTGAGCCGTTGCCTTCGAATATCAACTTAGGTCATATGTAGGTAAGCGTAGGGATTGTGCTTGTATATAACGTTTTAGACGCCAGCTGCTCAACACACTCGCTGACCGACAGTCCTGTAGGGTACCTGCAGAACATGCTGACCACCAATATATGATAATACACATTTGCGAATACGATGAACACACCTATATAATGATACACATTTGCTAGTATGATGAACACACCTATATACTGATACACATTTGCTAGTATCATGAACACCAATATATAATAATACACATTTGTTCGTATGATGAACACACCTATATTATTATACACATTTGCTAGTATCATGAACACCAATATATAACAATACACATTTGTTAGTATGATGAACACGCCTATATAATGATACACATTTTCTAGTATCATGAACACCAATATATAATAATACACATTTGTCAGTATGATGAACATACCTATATAATGATACACATTTGCTAGTATTTGTTAGTATGATGAACACACCTATACAATGATACACATTTGCTAGTATTATGAACACCAATATATAATAATACACATTTGTCCATATGATGAACACACCTATATAATAATACACATTTGTTAGTATGATGAACACACCTATAAAATGATATACATTTGCTAGTACCATGAACACCAATATATAATAATACACATTTGCTAGTACGATGAACACCAAGATATGATTGAATTCATTTGCTGATCGAGTTTCACTATCAGAGAAACTTGACACCATACTACTCGGAGTGCGTGTAGAATATGTTAAGGAGTGTATATAGAATGTGTCAAAGAGTGTACATAGAATGTGTCAAGGAGTGTATATAGAATGTGTCAAGGAGTTTACATAGAATGTGTTAGGAAGTGTATATATCTATCATAGGAAATATAGTTACATTGACTTAAAGCTTAACAACACGTGGAGCGTCTCCTTTCGTTCGTCTCTGCCGCCAAAGTCTAAGTATCATCGACAGCATAACGTATGTCTAACACACACAATAGGAACATCTGGCGGAGGTAGAACGAACATACCCATTCGGTTATGCATGGTCTGTGATATAGATGAAAGCACGGTAGCCGCAGCTGATGCGTCCCGACTTCAAACTGTTCTAAACAGACTGCGCAGCTCAGTTCATTCTCTGCGAGATAAAGGACACAAGTCGTATACAATTGGGAACAGTTCGATGCCATTCCAGTGGATTCAAAAAGTAACAAACCCGAAGAAGAAGAAATAGTTCGGTACAGCTCAAGGTCTCGTGCAACCCGAAGTCAAATACTGAACCAATAAAAAGTAGAACTGCTAGGCTGGTTCACTGTGTGATACTACGGTCGTGTATTTAATTGAGATTCGGGAATCGTGTAGCGAATTGGTTGTGTGCAGGAGTGCCGTTTGCCCTCCACAGGTTATGTAAGCACTAGGCACAGCCTCGAATCGAGTAAATTCTCCGCCAGATCCATATAATCGACGACAAACAAGCCGTTCATGTAATAGATACATACAGACTGTGACGTTGTTTGATTATTATTGTAATTCGTATGTCATAATTTGACTCCATCGCTAAGAATAGAGATCGCTGCAGATACGCACCGTACCCAGAACGATTCCTACTCAAGCACGCACAAATGCCATACCCAAGCCACACACCAGTAGAACACCCCACACAGCCATTGCTGAAGCCCAGCGAAACATATACACGATTACAACAGCAGATTGAAATGACTAGCTACAAGTTCTTGGGACATTTACTTGGTCATAGTTCAACCATCCGCACGAGCGCTGACTTGATTTAGCTTACTCGAACTGGTGCAATTGATAGTGACTACTGCACTAACTCCACAATCGTTTCCCCAGTGGTATGAATGGTTTGTTCCGTAGAGACTAAGGCAAATACAACTGTATAGGGTTGATCTACGTCAGCTGCCAAACTACCTGCCACCGCACACAAACCACTGCACGTGCCTAAATCAACTGCAGCCCAGAAATCAACACTATAGTTGGCTAAAGATAACCCCAACAGTATGCCACCATCCCACTCATCTACCACTGCACTTGTCTACATCAACTGCAGCCCAGCGTTATAGTTGGCTAATGATAACCCCAACAGTATGCCACCATCCCACTCATCTACCACTGCACATGTCTACATCACCTGAAGCCCAGAAATCAACGCTATAGTTTGGCTAAAGATAACCCCAACAGTATGCCACCATCCCACTCATCTTCCACTGCACATGTCTACATCACAACGCTATAGTTGGCTAAAGATAGCCCCAACAGTATGCCACCATCCCACTTGACGGTCATAAGGTACCTCACAGGTGGGAGCTGTCAATGGGTCATTTTGGCTTCACATAACACTGAACGGTATTATCTTCAGTGGTATACATTACGCCTCAACAATTGCAGTCGATATACCAACCGACACGCATGTATAAGGCTGTGAGCAAGCACTCGCATCCACGATACTCACACAGACAATGTTCAGGTACTTCTGGGTCGTACAGTGCGCTGCATATAGCCTATACCTACCTTCATCCTCGGCGTTGATTAGAGATGTGGGCAGAGCGTCTATAACGGCCTTGGATGCCGGCGGTTTGTAGTTCTCTCTGAAAAATGACAGGAAATCAAGCGAGGGAAACACTAAGAGCCAGAGAGGATAAGATAGTTCGGTACACATATACCTAAATAGATGTACGGGTATAGTTTAGACCAGTGATACGCATAGTACCCAGATCGTGCATGAATTGTTCGCTATGCCAGAGCACCGTAAGAAATTAGACACACGAGTAGATTGTTATTCGCAAATAATCTGGTGGATAGGATATACATAGTCGGAATGTCATACGTATGCAGTCCATCATGCACGCACACGTAGTCTCGAACTGACACAAGCATGGTATTGGATACTAAATAATCGTCACAAGCGAACGTGTACAATAAAAGGGGAAACGTTATAACATATGTATACACACAAAGTTAAAGCTCTGGGTTCAGCGTTTGCTTCGGTGTATACTATAACAAGTATGCGTGACTATACATGACCTGTCCCTGCTCTATATCCGTTCTCCATACCACCATAGAAAACCAGCAAATATGTACTCTGATCCAGAACTACATGACCTACGAGGTAGTTGGCTGATTAAGAAGTACAAGAGAAGCACAGATAGAATCAATAACACACATCAACACACATCCACACAAACACAGCTT